CCCACCCCCCAAACAAACAAACGAAACAAAACACATAAAGAACAAGATAAAAATAATAACTTTCATTTCAATAAGGCATTTCAGGAAACCGAGTCTTATCAAACTGCCCTTTCTCTAGGAAGGACATTCACGATTTTTGCCTACCTTTTTTATGATGATATTTACTCTGTTCAAAGCAAAGTAGCATTATTTATCGTCTTGACAAGTCCAAAATTAGAAAATAAAAACCCCTATTGTCAACTCTGTTGCATTGCTCGTATTTGTATCGCTGCCCCTGGCTTAAAACCTTGTAGTAAACCTTGTAATAATAATATTTAAAGCAAAGGCTGTGCTATTACCGTTTCAAAGTTATGAGGGTGCTCTCGTGGGCTAGATGTTAAGGTGTTCGCTTCTCATTCAATGGGTATCGGGTTCGAATCCGGATAGCGACGAACATTTTCTTCTCTAAAAATGTTCTCCTTTCACATCCTTTCCTGCTCTCTAACAATATTCTGTCGTCTGATTTCGTCTACACCTTTTACCCCCACCCCCTAATCTCCTTGCCCCCTCCTCTAGGCTCCTGGCTCTTTTCTGCTTCCTTTCTGCTGCTTCTCCTTGGCTTCTTCTTACTGGTGTCTTTCAGCCACACCCCTGATCTTATAGTAGGCAAGATCTACACCTAGCCTTCTTGGACAAGGGCGAAAAAATCTCGGAGGTCCCGTTTGCAAGTTGCGCAAGTTAAAGATCCCTCGGTGGTCTAAAATCGATAAGAGTAGGCTTCGGCCCCCACCCAGGCAAAATTCAAAATTTCCTACCAACTAAAAATGTTTGGTGTTCCGCACACTCATATGGCCGTATTCAGTTGCGAGCGCCGTAAAACACACAAACAAATTGAAACTCCACAGCTCTTGTTACAATGAATAATCTTTCCTTAAAAAACCCCAGCTTAACTCCTTTCTTTTTTTTTCTTTTTTAAAAAGTATGCTTCAACTACCTGATTTCTTCTCTAAAGCTATCTATTTGATACCTCTCTGGCATGCTTCGTGTAATATATAAGTCGACATTTATCTAGCCATTTTCTTGCCACCTGCCGAAAATTGGCACTTCCGGCCAACTGGACGCCCGCGGCAGTGAATTCCTGTAACAGCCACATGCAACCTCAAAGCACGACGGGAACATAACGTGTTGAAGAAATGATTTTTACGAGGAAGCAAGTAGCGTGTACCCGGGTGTGCTTGCCTGTCCTATTGTCTGTGTGTTTGATTGATTCGTATAGGGCCTAATTGCAAGTTTTTTGAATCAGTGTCTCTCTGAAAAAAAGTCTGAACCTATTTCGGGAGTCTTCTCCTTTATTGAGGTTTGATCGCAGGTGGTGAATAGGTTCCATTTATTAGCCAACCCTGCGCAGCAATGGGGAAGATTTCGTTTTTCTTCTTTTTTGGGGGGTGGTGTTTTTCACCCCCGCCCCACACCCTCAAACACACACCTTTCCCCATCAACACAGTTTAGCTCATTTACGAAGCGGGCTTCAACCCAGCATGTCAGAGCTAATATGGGCTGAAAAGAACACAGGAACAACAAGCCAGCAAAAAGACCTAGATACGTGATAAAAATTCTCCCCACATGAGAATTGAATTCGGGTCTTCTGCGGGCGACAGCAAAGCGCTTAACAGCTACACCACAGAAGTTCTTTGCGTGATCTTAGCGCTGCCTTTGACTTTGACACTATAGATCACACTATTTTTATTGAACGATTGTTCAACACTTTTGGCCTGTCTGGCACGGTTCTTGACTGGTTCAGGTCCTACCTGATTGGCCGTACACAATCTGTGTTTGTACACAACTCTCTTTCGTCAATTTTCAAACTAGACTTTTGAGTGCCTCAAAGTTCAGTATTGGGTCCAATCTTGTATACGTTATATATACAGCCGCTTGGAGCTGTGTTTAGAAATCACAATATAAACTATCATATGTACGCAGACGATACACAGTTATACAAATCTGTTCCACCATCAGATGTTAAAACCTTGCTTACCACCATGGGTCTGTGCATTGATGATGTTAAGAACTGGGTGATTGATAATAAGCTGAAGCTTAATAAAAATAAAACTGAAATTCTTTTATGTAACCCAAAGACATTGATCACGTTTGTACTGAATATGAAAAACTGCATTTTACTGATAAGGCAAAAAATCTGAGAGTATATGATGATGATAATGATGATGATGATGATGATGATGATGATGATGATGATGATGATGATGATGATCACGATCATGAGGAAGAAGGTCATCATGATGGCGATGATGTGTTTTATACTTACCATTATGAAGAGAATGGGCAAAGCGAGGAGAAAGGAGAACACCCAGACCATGACTACCACCACTTTAGCGTGACGCATGGTGCAGATGGTCCGTGCTTGTAGTGGAGACACAACGGCGATGGCTCTGGGAACGAAACAACAAAAAAAAAGAGAAAAAAATGATTTTAGTTTAGATGTTTTTGTTGATGTGTTAAGTTAAACTTAATATATTAACTATTTAAGGACATGGCTGATATATATATAATTATAATTTTATCCTTAATTTAGTTAGTATTAGACCAAAGATTATTTGATAATATGTTGTTGCACGTTTCGAACCATCATGCACGAATTTTGTTATAATATTATTATGCGTGCTGTTTCGTGTTATTTTTAGTTGTCTTTTTGTGTTATCTGCTTGTTTATTTGCTTGTTTGTTCGTTTGCTTGTTTGTCTGTTTGTATTTTTGATTGTTTATTTATTGGGGGGGAGGGGGATTTGTTAGGGTTGTATTTCTTTTTAAGTTTCAACCAGAACTGAATTGAGAAATCAGTACGAAATATAATTAAAGTCGTACTTCATTATATCAAGTGCCCTTACAACAGCACGCCTTAAAGCGATGTAGAATGCCCGGAATCCGTGTTGCCAGGACTTCAACGTGGTGAAATCTCACAGTAATAGTAACAGTTGATTCTCTACGGCCCCATCCACACAATGAGAATACTAAGGAGCTAAAGTGCTTCGACCATGCCTGTCAGGGCTAACTCGGTCTGAGAAGGGTGCAACGTCCCAGCAGACAGACGGAAATACTCGATGATAATAATAATAATAATAATAATAATAATAATAAGAAGAAGAAGAAGAAGAAGAAGAAGAAGAAGAAGAAGAAGAAGAAGAAGAAGAAGAAGAAGAAGAAGAAGAAGAAGAAGAAGAAGAAGAAGAAG